GTAGTTCTCCAGGTTTCTGCCCCATACAGTAGAACTGTGTTGACATTTGTATTGAAAATCCTGACTTTGGTGTTGGTTTACAGTTGCTTTGAGTTCCAGATTTTCTTCAGTTGTAAATATGATGCTCTTGCTTTGCCGATCCGTCCCTTCACATCTGCATCAGATCCACCCTGTTCATCAATGTTGCTGCCCAAATACGTAAAGGTTTTTACATCTTTCAAATCTTCTCCGTCAATTGTGATTGGATTGGTGGATGCTGTGTTGTATCGGAGAATCCTGCTTTTCCGTTTGTGTATATTGAGACCTACTGCTGCCACACTGTTCGTCTTCTCCTGCATTTGTTGTTGCGTTTGGGATATATATACATGAACCTGCTCTCAGAGATTGAACCTAGTCGTTTGCTAGAAATCTGTAGATATAGTAGAGCCTGTAATTTCAGAATGAAATCAGTAATATTTTCATCAAAAACAATATTGTAATGCCGGTTATTTAATTGTCATTTAGATTGGACGATGTTATCGAAAGGGCTCTCCAATTTAGTGGCCCATGATCTGACGCCAAGGTGATCGTAATGAATAATTGTTATTGGAATATATATGTCGCCTATCCTCGTATATAATCATCGGCTTAAATCGCGTTAGTCAATAACGGAATTAAATAAGTCAAATAACGAGAATAGACTTGTGAATACTTATATTTTGTATATAAAGCGAATGGAATAAAGAGAAGGGAAACGACGCAGAGTGGAGATGGCGGGTAAGCCAACACCCATTTAACCAAGCGTTAATTAATAATTATAGTTACACAAAAGTCAGTTACAGACATGTGGTGAGCGATGGAATAAGAAATGTACACACATCTACGCGCTCATATAAAAACCGTCAAGATTGATAAGCGAATAATTAACAAGGTCAGAATGTGACTCAAGTAGAATGAATAGAATGGGATGTCCAAAAGCTAGAATAAGGCATATTGGGGTTTAGCATAATAACTGACACTACAATACTATTCGACTTTCAAAAAAATTTCTCAAGCATTGACAGTTGTGAACTGATTATCGTATTTTACAGTATGAATGGGTAAGCTAACTGGGAAATTATGGTTCACTGGTCGATTAAGGTAATTTTTTTTTTTTAGTTTACAACATGGCATCGACAAATGATCTCCTCTTTTAGATCAATTCCAATGTTGACAGTTTGCACTGTGTATTTAGATTTCAATAAAACTGGTGTTCACAGTAATAACATCTAATGTGTGTGTATGTGCTTATGTAGATTAAATTTCTATTGTTCGTTGAATGATAAGTACACGAACGTCTATTAATAAACAGGTCTCTTAGTTGTGGTTGGTAACCATCTTAAGGTATCTACTTAACTCGAGATTAATTCATGAGGCAACGGTAATAATTGACTGTATTTCATGATTTTAAAGTATATCTCCTTAGAATTCTTTCATAATGCAGCTTAATTCCCTTCAGAAAAAAAAAGTATTTACTGCTTTATTTATCAACAGAATAGATTGGTTCATTGATTAAAGGTTGATATATAATTGTGAATAAAACGATCACATCTATTTTAATTATGTGTTGACTTTGTTGCCCAAAGCGACAGTGGATATTTCACAATTCAATCCATTTAGCTTTGATAGTGCAATCTCAGTAAATATAAACAAAAGTGGGGTTGTTTATATAGACGGTACTACCAACAAATTTCACAGTTTATAAAAGACATCAAAATAGATCTGGCGTTAGGCGCTTACTTGACGTAGTGGTCGGACATGCCTATCATGACCACTCTACCAAACTATATTGACTGAAACACATGTTCAGTTAGGTCCAATCATGCCAGGCAGATCACTTGATGGACATTAAGATCAAAAGTAACATTTTGGGACTAGAGAGTGAAGTCGTACTCCTGACCTTTGAGTGGCGTGATGGCCGTAAGGTGTTTCCCTCTGAGTTAGCATCTGTATCGATGCTGTTTTCTCACAACGGAAGCATAGATTTAGAAGTGGGTCAACCCTAAAAATATCATCCTTCACCTTAACTCATGGAGTTTTGTATCTGACGGTATGGTTTTTTTTCATTGCAGAACTAACGAGTCGTTAACTATCTATAAAGGGGCGGTGCGCGACTTGTCTCTAGGGCTCTGCGGTCATGCCCCCGGGTCGTCTAGACGACCACTAACTCAGCCCCATTTTTAGGTCCCTCAAGAAAAAAATACCCTCCTACTGTGTGTAATCGGGAAGTGACGTCCACCCTCGTGCCTCTCTGATCACCCGGAATTATCTTGGTAATCAAACCGTGGTGAACACGATTACCAATGGGGACAATCGAGTGTATTCGACAACAAATCACAGAACTTGTTAATAAAATCTAAGAATCATAAAATAAATGCTTAAGTTACAAAATGTCCATTAATTGTCTCAAAATGGCTCAGACTTCATTGTTCTTGCATCTTCATACAAATTGCATTCTGTTTTCATTCTTCACTGATCGATCTTCTTGTCGCTCTGCTGCCAGACATTCTGTTCACGACTAACATCATATACTACTCATGTCTACATAAGTAGTACACACCACAATACCACTCCCTCACTTAGTAATTCTTCAATTGCCACGACTGACCCTTCTCATTTATTTTGATCATCGCGCGCTACCAGTGCTAACTGTTTGGGTTCACAAAATATTATTCTTGTTCTCCCGAAACTACGCTCTTGAACTACTTGTTGGAGCTTTTAAATTTCAGACCTTGTGCCAGGTAACAGTACCACATTAGCACAGAGAAATGAAGTTGTCAGGAAAATCTCAGAATATTAGAGGTAGTAATAGAATCAGTGATAGTAGGAAAGATCAAGCATCGAAGATACGACTCGAAAAGTGAATATAAATTAACAAAACAAAAAGGGTTGTGGTGAATTTAAAATATCATGATTTGTGGGAAGACAAAGAATGGATACACTTCTACAATTATAAATGACCTTGATCCATGTCATTTAAAGTCTCTAACCATTGCTTACGATCATCACGCCGACCCCAACCAGGTGGTCTGTACTTATTAACGGGGTTAAGTTAGATTGCCAGCGACTTCAAGGACTTATGTCATGTTTTGGTTTGGTTGCCTGCTCCTGTTGAGCAAGACAATATCACCCATCGATGTAGGCGGTAGTCGGGCGTATCTAACACAAGTCCCAACTATCTCAGCTGATGAAGACTCATTAAATCTGGTCGATTTCACATCCCTACCTAATGCTCACACTTAACATGGGCAATTGCTTGCCCCGTGTTTCCAAAATACACAAGGAATTCTTTGAAAACACCTATGATCGAATATTTGTAGCATACAAATATCCTCCATTCTTAATGTCGATGTTTCATACCTATGAAATAGAACAGGGAGAACTGATGCACAGTAAACTCACCCTTTGATTGGCAGATAGGTGTCTCGCCTACGCCGCAAGTCGGCAAAAGCCAATCTAGCCTTCTGAATCTGTGTCGAGATTTCGTCAGACACCAAAGCATCACTACTGATTAAACTCATAAGTGAAGTGGTCTATGAGTTCGACTACTTCACTTCACATCATTAATTCAGGTCATGACGCAAACCAATCCTGAAGTAGTAACATTTTACATTTGGAGGAAAAGAACCGGATACCAAATATGCTTGCATTGTTGCTTAACTTGGTCTTACTTACGCCTGTTAGACCTCGTGAAGGAGCATAGGCCGCTCACCAGCATTCTCCATCCAACCCTGTCCTGGGCAATCCTTTCCAGCTCCTTCCAGTTGTTATTCATCCTTTTCACATCTGCTTCTATTTCGTGACGTAATGTGTTATTTGGCCTTCCTCTTTTTCGCTTCTCTTCAGGATTCCAGGTTAGGGCTTGCGTCATGATGAAGTTTGGCGATTTGCGTAATGTATGTCCTATCCAGTTTCATCGTCTTTTCCTAATTTCTTCTTCAGCTGGAAGCTGGTTTGTTCTCCGCCTGTAGCTCTTCTAGAGTTACTGCCGGTCCCAAGCCCGGGTAAAGGAGGAGAATCGGGCATGGAGTTAGCGACCCCATCCCGTAGAAAACTAACTCTCTACAAAAACGTTAACCAGAAAAAATAATTTAAACTCTGCCTTGGGAGTTAGGTCTTCATTTAGAAGAATTATGATGGTTCATGGTGAAAGCCGAGTTCTTTCAGAAGCCACGAGGCCGATGCCCCTTCTAACAACGTGAGCACCAATTTTTATAGGTACAAGTTGGTCAAAAGACTATGTTTATTCGGAGTCTTCACTAAACAGAACTATATCATCTGCGTATTCTAAGTGAATCACCTTCAAGATCAAGTGAAATATAAACATCTTTCATTGATCGTTAAATTTGAAAGAACTAGATTTCCAGATGATACCAACTTGATTTCTTATGACAAAGCAAAAACCATTAACAACATACAATCTGATGTATACAACAAGCCAATTAAAAAAACTCATGTGAACAGGGAAACAAGAAGCCCTGACGAACTACGAAAGCTATTTTCTTGGGACGTTATTTCATTTCATTCAAAGCTTGTAAAACGCTGACATTTATTTTTGTCCCTATTTTATTCTACAGAACATGAGCTTTCGTTCAATGTATCATTCATTGCCATACCTCTTTTTGTTCTGAAGCTATTATAATTTAAAGATAACATTTTGCACTTTATTTTCTACTCTAATTCCCAGTTTTGGACATAATTGTATTTTTCCAACATTATGGTCGGGTGAATCACCTACTTATTCATATACCTTTTTGCACTAATCTGAATTCAGAGATTCCATAAGAAATCAGTATATCGGAATAGAGCGAATAGTGTTCCAGTTGTCTTGTCTTCTCTTATTATCAATGTTTGTCAGCCAATCAGGTGATAGAATAGTTTTCTTCTCTTTGACCCGCCTCGAATTCACGCGTACTAGCCTCACGGTTAAATCGGTCAGCCTATTGCGTACAAGGTCTTAATCTAGAGTAGACAGATCAAAGTCATAACAAAAACAACGATATGTATTTTACAAATGGATGTTTACACTACTTATTTAAGTAATACAAAGTATAAAAGAAAATATTTATAATATCAATACTTTTGGTGGAGTTTTGTTCTCTGAGCTGGATGGTTTAGTTGTGGAGCTTTCATCGTTCAGAAGAATGAAACTCTATCAAAATCATCCACCTGAGCTACAAATCTTCTCCATTATCTCAAATATCAATACTATAACACAATGGTCTTGTTTACTACATACCTTTGTCACTATGCGATTTTTTAATTTTATTTATTAATGTATACAACCATTGTAATTCATTGTCATCTGTTTGATTAAATTTTCTTGGTAAACTAGTAAAATTCTCAAATTGATTTATCATTAAACGTGTTAAACGTAAATAAAATTCTGGTGAATATGGTAAATAATTCATATACACTTTTGATTTTTTAAAATAATTCCTCCATTCAAATGGTATAGAGGATTCAATTTGTGTACCTTCATGCCATTCATTAAATGATACAATACTTATACCAGTTAATTGAATATTCATTGCTTTATGAAATACTTCAATATATCTTGAACCAAATTCACGTAATTGAATAGCTGCAGTATTCCATGGACGTACAGATAGATCATGATAACCTGGACCAATACTAGGATAGAATGTTAAATTATACTTTGTACATTCGTTTGATAAATCTATCCATGTATCTGGGGAACTATTAAAAAAAAAGTTATATATAAAGATTGATTAGATTATGATAATTTAAGTAAACTGATTGATAACATATGATGATGATTGTAGCATGAGGTCGAGTCGTGATTGACTATGAACAAACACTACAATGAAAAGGCGTACCAAACAAATCAGAAGGTGAAGATTGGATGTAACCAGATTTATTTCGTTGACGATCTCGTCGTATTGAACGAATACCAAGATTATGTCAAAAGAAGTACAAATGGAATCAGCGGGCAAGAGTACAAATGTACGAGGTCACAATCCGCGGAAAAAGTAATGGAGAGTAATGGTAGTACAATATGTCTGTCATTAGCATAGTTAAACAAACGAGCACAGTAAAACAGTCACTGGTACAATTGGTTATCATAATAATTGTTTTCATTAAATCAATCGTGTTCTCGTGATAAAAGTGAGTCACTACATGATCATATTGAAATGGTGGAGAAGAGTTGTAGCTCAGATGGATGATTTTGATTGAGTTTTTGTTCTCTAAGGTGAATGGTATGATCGTAGAGATTTAATTGTTCTTTTGAATGATATCATCATCAGCAGCATAAACTTGTTTAGAAGAACGATAAAAGTTCTTATAACCAAACCATTCAGTAAATGGTAACGTTTTGGGATCCATTTATAGATTAATACTATACTCATATTTTTATCGTATAATTGTTATGTAACTAAACTATTCATATTCGTGTCCCTCTTATTATAAGCTTTAATTTGACCCATGAACTATTACTATACGATTTACCATTCTTGAGTTATACCCTGTCTATTAATTACTACCTCCCCAATTCATAGCCACATTTGGCTAATTCTTGTACAAATTTTATTTTCCATTTTATGGTACGATGTGGTCTGTTTGGGTGGTACTATACACCCAGTATGCTTGAAATGCATGATTCATATTACAGAGGCTGAGATTGACATTCTGGATTGAACAGGTTGGACTAGGCAGGAAGCAGGATCGATAAGGACTCTAGACTGCTCATACGGTTTTTATGCGTTATTGGTCCGGTCGATAATTCACTGTTCTCTAATAGGCGGTATCATTGCGTCATATATATTAATAGGACACAGGGCACGAGTTATAACAGTTACATAATTCATTATTTACAACAACAAAAGAAAAGGAATAAAACATACACAATCAATGAAAATATAATTAGATTATATGTACATATATATAGATTACCTGGCTTTTGATATTCCATGACCAACAAAATATGTATAACCACCATTAAATCCTGATTCATACAATATTCTACAATCATTAGTTTCAAGTAATAAACCAATCATATGTACATTATACATTTTATTTCGTATAGTTGTTTCTTCATCATTTGGTTGAAGAATCTTAATACACAACAATAAACAGTACATCATTTGAACAATGTTAAACTGAATCAATGGAATGGCGATTATTATTATTATTAGATATAGTAAAATAATGGTTTAATTGAAGCTAGACCATCATGGAAACACCTGAAAACACTCGATGGTCATTTCGTCCTACTATAAGACTTTTCAGCAGAGTGCGCATTTACGATCCCGTTCGTGGGACTCGAACCCATGACTTTCGGTTTCGCGTGAAAACACTTAATCTCTAGTCTTTATACTAAAAAATATTATTATATATGTCAGAGACAATTGAACGACTTTCAGTTTTGTGGGTAACAAAATTGTCAATAAATAGGAATTGCTAGATTACATTCTTAATCATCATTATCAATAATCAAAGAAATAAATATTATTTTATATTAATGGTTAAGTTTGACAATAAAAAAACCCCGATGAGTGTTCCAACCATGATTGACGGCATTCCAATCAGAATATCAACGACGAGATAATCCATTCCATGTCTGTTATATCCTAGCGAAGATTAAGTTATGAGTAACTTCTGAGATCTATTAATGGACTAATATTATTGTTGTGGATGCGGAGGAATATATATATACCTATTGTATAACTGCTCAGTCACTAGATTGTGTATATCTATATTCCTCTTATTATAAGCTTCATTTTGCTCTATAGATTATTGTGGTAAGATTTACTGTTCTTAAGTTATGTTAAGTTTATTGATTACAATCTCCCACGTTCACAGCCACTTTTTGGCTTGATCTTTTATAAATGTTATTTTCTATTTTATCATGTGATGAGGTCTATTTGGTTGGTATATAAACCAAGTATGTTTGATATAAGTAATTCGCACAGTAGAAGCTGTTATTGGTGTTCTGGACTCAACTAGATGGGCTAGGTGAACGAGGAACCAATAAGGATGCCCGGCTGTTCATACCGGTCGAATGTCATTGGTTTAGTACAGTATAACTGTGAATAAGTCGTATTCGATTGGAGAATAAATCGCGTGATAACTAGCCGATCTTACAGTCACAACAATGTCAAGTTGAGTTAAAATTCATACCTGTTGAACAAGTGAATAGCTATTTAGGCTCAGTAGCTAGAATGGAAACGAGATGGTGTTTGAAGCAAACTGTACTTTGCTTGAGTGCCACAGTAAACATCAACACTGAGATGCAAATTTAGTCAAATGAGGAGTTTCAAATAGGACGGAATGCGAATTCTAGATTCCAATACTAGGCATATTCCAATTACTGAATCTGAAATATAAGAGTTGTCTAAAAATGTACACAATACCAAAATTAAATGATTACGCGAACAACTTCTAACCATGATTGATTCGTGCCCTTGACTGGAGTAAATTTTATTTGTGTAATATCTGAGATTTTGAACCATGTCAGTTTAGCTACTTTAGTGATTCCTAGTTGATTCTAACATATGATGAAGACGAATTGATATTTGTATCTCAAAAAAATATATGTCCGTACTTACTTTGTCTACATGCTCTCGATTGATCACATCAATAACAACGGGATAATGTTAAAGATGCATAGATACTTAACACATACTATTTGGCAGACACACAACGAGAATGAACAGACGAATGCATCGTGAACTTAAACCATTTTTAGTCAAATAAACACTTTAGAAGTATTATCTCATAAGCTAAAAAGTTGATGTGACTTCAATTTGATAGATATCTGAGATCAGTAATTAATAGCTCACATAGGTAGACATATATAAATAGAAGCTATGCTGATTAATAATGTGTTTGTTAGTGGTCGACTTCAAGAAGTATATCCGGAGTTTTAGTGAGAAGCTGTGACCAGTAGAGTTCAACCGAGTCAAATGTGAGGCAGTTACCCACTAAGTCATATAGGAAGACGAGTCAAAGATATTATACATTGACTAAAGTTGAACAAGCAAGCCAACTGATGTTGCGTCAGTAGTCTAAAGGTTATATGTTTGCTCACGAGACTAGAAGTCCCGGGTTTGATCAATGGTGACCAAGTCGTGGATGAGCACAGCACAGGGCGAGTTAGCAGCTCAGTGCTTACAGGTTTTCAGTGGTTGGCTCTCGATTAACCCACTAACTACTGTTGTATGACTCATTATTCTAAATTTGCTGCCATTTTACTATTCACAGTTTCTCCAACTAACAGCCATTTGAACTTGACTATGTATAAAATTCTCAACAGCTTTCAGAACTTAATACCACTGTCCCAGATAGAAAGTCCCCTGCTGAGGTCATGTTTGTAATAAGTATTTAGACAATACTTAATGCTGTGTTGCCATTTAAAACATGGGATGGGCACAGAAGAAATCAGTAAGTGGTAAGTTTTAATGTGGAAGACAGAGTTTTTGTCAAATCATACCTTGGAAAATTCGATAGGAACTCGGAATTATTAGAAAGAGATTAGGAAACATTTTGTACAAAGTACGTGAAGTATTCAGAACGTGGGTCAAACATATAGACCAAATCCATAAACATAAAAATAGTAAAGAACATGGAAGATTGACAAGTGAATCTACCACTGGAAATAATTAAAGAAACTTCAATGATGGTAAATTTCAAAGCCACCATAAAGAAAAAAATAATGAGGGGTTGGATAAAGAAGATACTATAAAAGATGGGATGCCGTCGCAAGTCATTTATCGGGCTGAAATTAGATCCAAAGAAGAAGTCTTATCTTTTTGAAAGGAAAGTTTTAGGGAAATTGAAAGTATTCCTCAAAAAAGTCCATAGGTGTCCAGAAAACTCTGGAAATATGAATATCTGTTAGTTCTTATTTGATTCTGTTTATTGTTCAAGTTCATTCACCCTTGTGTCTTTTTGCAGTATCTCGTCCTATTTATAAACCATAATAAATTCGGCATGTTTTCTGTATTTCACTAAGTGATATCCATTTGTTACAATGATCTATTTATCCTCATTTCCATATTTTAATTCAATTTTTATCAGTCAGTCAGCTGAAACATAGGACTAGGCACATACGTGTATCGGTCCAAGAAGCCACATATCATTAGCACAACAACATGAACACCGAATTCATAGAAGTAGTTAATTCAATGGTGGAAATATATAAAAGAAAGATTGCAATAAAGATATAGTACAGGAAGAAGGAATTAGTTGGTAGAAAGAAAGACATGAAGCGATTTTAATCTCATAGTTTAAAAGAAGACAGAAAGTGTATACACCGACGCCATTGTGATCGATTCTAAGCCATGTCACAAAGAGTCTCCAACCACTAGTTACGATAGTCACGAGGACACCAACCGAGTAGTCTGCATCTACTAACATGGCTCAGACTAGAAGTCAGTGACTTCATGCACTGATGCCACGTTTTGGTTTGGTCGCCCCTGATTTTCTTCCAACCATCCCCAACACCAACTAGTATTTCACGTCGTAATAATCGGTGGTTGAACATGCGTAGTTTGTGGCCCAACCATCTCAGTCGATGAAGATTCACAACCTCATCCTCACAACCATCAATCCTTAAAACCATACGTATTCTTATTTCGCCTATCGTTGAGTATCTTATTATGTGATTTATCTCGAACTGATAACCTACTCTTGAAACATTATGCTTAAACGATTGACGTTGACTTGGATCGATTACTGTTATATGCCACAACGTATTATTATGATTCGTTTATCTAAGGGGTTGATTTTTCCAATGACTATGTTTTCCACAAAGTCAAAACTGCCTGAATAAATCGTTATGTCTTTTTTATCATGGTAAAATACATTAGTACTGATCTCATTTTACTACTTCTGGAAATTCAATTTATGACTAGATAACTACATATGTACTGTAAATCACGTTGAAAAGAGGTTTTATACAAAGAATAAGTTATCTATATATATGCATACACATATGCATTAAACAACTTACTTTCTTCCATTCTGATGGTTTTATTATATAAGAATCATACACATACACTACAGGTAATAATTTACCATCGTCATATTGATTAGCAGAAACATGATAATAAGCTGGATGAGAAGTGTATCCTTTTTCATAAATATACTTTAAATCTGAAACGATTGTACTGACATCACGATTTTTATATGGTTCCAAATGTAGACAAATCTGGTGCATAAAAAAGATACTTTTTGGTTATTTGATGAAAAATAGAGCAACTACTGACAAATTATTAAAGTAGTAGACTTAACATGGTAAGAATATTAAAAGTAATTAATTATTCCTGAATTGCAATCAAAAATTGTTTCTACCATTTAATGTATCGCTGGAGAATTTTTATCTTGAATTGAAGGTTGAATACTTGATGCAAAGGGGTACCAGTCAAGTTGCGACTTAACATCTCATACTATCGTTACAATAGTACAGAGATGAAAGACAGAAAATTTGCGTTTGTGACTGTGCAACAAAATATTGGATTGACACAAACCGCTAGTAGGACGTCACTAAACGCATAGTAACAACCCACATATTCAAACACTGCCGAATCCAATTTACGTTCGGTATTTGAAAATAAAAACGCTAGAAGTATTTCAAAGACAACACAATCACAAGAAATTTATATAATGACCGAGAATAATTATAAGTTTTACATTATCCTTGTCTTTATTCCTTCATAATGGGAAAAATCCCGCCAACTTGGAAGAACTATAAAGTGTATTGGGAATGCTGACACATAATCCAGATCATTATAAGAACCTATATAATTGCATGTACGAAGTGGTAGGTCAAATAAAAAGTAAACTTGATAAGTAAACTATAATTGAATAGATTAGTGAATGACCAAAGAAATCAGATTTCCATTCGCATTAACATGTTAAATGGATCTTAGTCACTTTAAATGTTTGTCAATCTAAGATCAGTCAATGATGTAACACTTTTACTTTACTCCTATAAAATCATAATTTGGTGTCGGAATTCGTATAAATTAATCAATTACGAGATGAAAATCTACAATTTCACTCCTTTAACTACAAAAAATAAGAGAAGAGCTGGAAAACATATACAATCTAATCAACAACGTCTTTGATGACATAAAATTCACAATGGAAACAATCAAATGGATGTAACCGATTATCAGACTGATGATACAGGTAAACTAGAAACTCATGAATATCGGCAGCCACCTACACAGATCAAATTCTCAACTATAGGCAGCAGCAACTCAACAACTCACAAAATCAATTGCGTACAAACTTTGTTTAAGAGGGTGATAACAGATTGCAGCACACTCACAGCATGGAATAATGGAGAAAAATATCTAATGCCTATCCTTCAAAAGAAAGATTACCTATTCAACCTCATCAACAAATTTCAACCTAAATAAACAGCAGAAACGAAATCAAGTATAAAACTAGCAAACGGATCATCCTACCATATATAAAAGAAGTATCAGAAATTACAAAGAGGTGTAGCATACAATCCAATGCAAACAAAAGAACAAAATAACAAAAGAAAAAACAGACATATTCTACAAAATAAACGGTTCGAATTGTGAAAAACACTACATGGGCTAAAGCGGACACTCTTTATCTTCTGCATGAACATCAAATAGCGATTAAATGCTATGACGTATCCCCGCTTATATTAATGCACGTGGACAACTGTGAACGCACATTCGACCAGAAAAATGTTGAAATTCTGGACAGAGGGAATACTAAGAACACCAGAGAATTTTTAGAAACTTGACACTTCAGTCAATTAACAAACACAATCTATCAACTAATAAGAAAAATCATGGACAAATATAAGACCAAAAGTCATATTAAAAGGAAGTATAATCAAAACAAAAAGGCAAACAATGACAAGTTACAAGTCAAAAATAACCAATCAAGATAGAGGTCGACAAGACATGCTGTAAGTCATATGTAGAGATATGAGAAAACGTCACTTCTACCTGACGTTTGTGCTGATGATGTTGTTCAGAAGAACAATGAAAGCCCCGCAATCAAACCACCAGGTTCAGAGAACGAGACTCCACCAAAACAGTTTATGCTAGGTGGATTTCAACTAATCAGACTACAACAATGCATCATTTACAACTGATGACAACAGTCAATAAATGTTTCACGATCACACGTTTTGAAATATGAGTTATTATGCATAATTTCTATCGATACGTTTCAGACAGAGCTCGAATGATACTTTTAGCAGAATTACAATATGAGTTCATTTTGTATTGTTTGTTTGAATCTTCCTATTAATGATTAGGACTGCAATCGGTCAGCCACTTATAAGCATATGTATACCCTGTGAGGATTGTTTTCATTTACTAAGATGATAAACGAAACGGTACGGGGTTCGAGTCCAGGAGTGAACATCAACTTTAGAATGCAGGTACATCCAAATGACGAGTCCCGAATAGAATGAAACGCATGTTTTGGATTCAACCACCAATATTTTCTTACAATTAAAATCACAATTACTTTTTCTTTCAAGTAAAAAAATCGCCATTTTTCAAATTAGTTTTAATAAATTTAAGATTAAGCGCTAAAAAAATTATTAAAAAGAGTATTACCACTTCCCATCTTTTTATACAAAATATCTAGACAAACAGGTTAGACATTGACACTATTGGATGCCGTCTCAGTGGTCCAGTAAGTCAAGCATTCGCGCGCGAGACTGGAGATCCTGGGTTCAAATCTCGCAGCCACGATCGTGGATGTGCACTGCTGAGGAGTTCCACAACGGGACGAAACGGCCCGGCTAGAAAACTATCCAAAAGTGTCAGCACTTTCCATCTTTTTATATGAAATACTAAGACAAACAGAATTTAATTAATCATCATCATCATGTCATTTAACAATAGGCATTCTAATATCATTCGTTATATTTGTGAATCACAGTACTTTTATTCAATTCGTTTTATCAAAGTTTATTTCTGCTGTTTTTGTTTATGTTGATGAATAAAAAGTAAAAAAATGAATTCATTTTCATTTATCTAGTCTATTGAATTATGTAATGATGAATACATACATTCAACACTACAAAAATTATAATAGTAATAGTGATGTAGGGGTTATCATATTGAAAAGAACTGAGTCAAGCATTAGATCAGATTTAGAATAGATGGAATATGATTAGCATTGGAATGCAGTATTCGTGTTTTGTTTGTTCTATTTAAGACTCTTCATTTGACTAAATTTGCATTCATTTTTAATTATTTATTGATACAAAGGAGCATCGAATACATAAGAAAGAAACAAGTCACTTAGTTTGTATGTGGACTATGATACTGCTCATGTGCCCCAAACCAGAGCAGGCGGTTTCCTAAGGGGCAGTATCCGGTGCCTTCGACGTATAGTCTGATTCATAAAACAGTGGAGCAACGTAAGGAGATGCAGTCTCATGGTAGCCAGTGACCAATAATTGGTTCATACGCCATTTGTTTCCTCGGGATCCCGGAGCACATGTGCACCATTGGTTTGGAATCAGGGTTTTCCAACTCCAACCCGATCAAGGCACCGGACATTCGCTTTTCGTCGTCTGAATTTCGAAAGTAAAACCCTCACCGTGAAACGGTAGTGAGTGGGACTTCCCTGGTAGTGGTTGTATGCATGTGGCCATGTGAGAGCATTTCGAAAGGCAGAGTTGATTCTCCTAACTCTAAGTCGTACCAGGATATTTGGAGGCTTTGCATATCAGACTTCATTTTTACTCTCGAACTCAAGCCTAGTAAAGTTTGCTTCAAACAGCATCACGTTTCACATTCTAGATACTGAGTCTAAATAGCTATTAACTTGTGCAACGGGTATGACTTTTAACTCAGTTTGACAAGGATTGGATTATCTCGTTGTTAATTTTCGATTGGAATTCGATCAATCATGGTGGAAACACTCATCATGCATTCTACTGTTAACCACATTCGATCTGTGCTATGTTAACTTGTATTAAAAAAGGGTATATTGATGCAAACCTCACAGAATGAGAATATGTCAGGTAAAATTGATCGAATTTCTTGTCTAAATATCATCAACAGACAGTCAGCTACAACGTAGGACCAGGCACATATATGCATCGGTCCAAGTTGCCATACCTCATTAACACAACAAGATGGACACCGGATTCATAAAACTAGTTAATTCAGAGGTGGTATCATATAAAAGAAAGATTGCATATAAGGATATAGTACTGTAAGAAACATTTAGTACATAGAAAGAAAGATATGAAACGATTTTAATCTCTTAGTTTAAGGGAAGACAGAGAGTGTATACACCAACGCCATTGTGATCAATTCTGAGCCATGTCACCAAGAGTCTCCAACCATTGGTTACGATTGTCACACGGACCCCAACCAAGTAGTCTGCATCTACCAACATGGCTCAGACTGGAGGTTAGTGACTTCAAGCACTGATGCTAAGTTTTGGTTTGGCCGCCCCTAACTTTCTTCCAACCATCCTGAACACCGGTCAGCATTGCACGTCGTGGTAATCAGTGTTCAGGCATATGTAACACGTGGCCGAACCATCTCAGTCGACGAAGATCAACAACCTCATCAATTGATTTACCATCATTACCTAATACCCTGCGTCTAACCTCACCATTACTTACCCGGTGATCCCAGCAGACGCCAGCAATATTTCTAAGGCATCTGTGGTCAAATACTAGTAGCTTACGAGTATCTTCAAGTCTTAATGGCCATGTTTCGCCGCCGTAAATTAAAACAGAACGGACTGCCGCGCAGTATACTCGTCCTTTTATTGATAGACGGATATCTCTCCTTCGCCATAAGTGAAGTAAGTCGGCAAAAGCCAAACGAGCTCGTTGAATCTGTGCACAGATTTCGTCAGACACCAACTCATTAGGGCTGACCACACTTCCAAAATAAGTGAATTTGTCGACGCATTTAACTACTTCACTCAGTACCAGCTTAATCCAAATCTTTTCAAATTGAATTGAACTACAATGTTTATGATCAGATTTTCACAATGAGTAATGAAACTTAAAATTGGCTTAATAAATACAATTATGAATTAGTAAATATGTATTTGAAACTTCTGACAACTTAAATACCTATTTCATACAATAAAAATCTATATGGACTTATTCACTATAAAAAGGAGAACAAACAATTCGAAATGTGAGTGCAAAAAAAGTTTTTTTATAGTTGA